GATAGATAGATAGATAGATAGATAGATAGATAGATAGATAGATAGATAGATAGATAGATAGATAGATAGATAGATAGATAGATAGATAGACACACATAAACAAATTTGCTGAGGCAATTCTGGCCCACGGATCAGTCCTGTAGCACCATCGGGTTCTCGTTACGATAAGGTCTTGATGTCTACTCCCCTCCTCATTGGTTGGACGTGCTGAGTGACAGGACGTGGTCGGATTCATATAATCAAATTAACTGGGGTCAGGACTTTTCTTAATGTGACTCCAGCACAACACCATCTTTTCTTTCATACTGAGCTGTGAGCTCTGCCTTGGCAGCTCGTTGCCTCTTGTGCTTTTCTGTTGCCTCAGGTGTGGTTTTTTTTGGCACAGCAGCATAAAGATGCCTGGAGAGACATATAACCTAACTCTTTTTATTGTCATTTTCTGGCTCGCAGGTGACCGAGGAGACGTCCCAGATGGTTCAGACTGTGGGATACGGCGTCACTCTCAGAGGAAAAGTGAATGTGAAGGGGAAGGGGGAGCTCACCACCTACTTTGTTAACACGGATCACACGTCTCCTGATTTCTGATCAAGCCTTCACTGCAGGCCACGGCCCAGACACAAGCTGCAGGTGCTTGTTGTTTGTCTGTAGCAGCCAAGCTCACACTTGCATGACTCATTCTGGGGTTTTCTTTTTTTCTTTTTCCACACGGAGAAACACAATCAGTGTGAAGGACTTAAAATAAAACACCACTGTATGTTCAGCCAGGCCGGCAGTCGTTATAGACACCTGCACGGCCTCTGTGTGATGTGACGGCAAAGGTCAACACCCGGCAATCATTCACATTCACCGAAGAGAAGCCACCTCAGACTGGTCAAAGGAAGGCGCACAACTGCAAGCAAGCAGCCGAAAGCAGGGAGCTTTCCACGCATGCTGCCTACTGTTTCTGTACTGTATCTGTGTTTCATGTGAAACTGCTGCAGACACTTTTCATTGTATTATTATGAAAACATTAAATGAAATATGCTTTTTTTGGTACATTGGTCGTGGCTGAATCACACAATACTCGTGTATGAAGTTATAAGGTACCAAAGATCACTGCTGTCATATGAAGGATCATATAGGATTTACATTTAGAGGATTTTATTTTAGATTATTTATGTTTTTCACTACAGACATTTAGGTTTTAGCTCAGATATCTTTACATTTTTCACTTTTTTTTTTTTTTTACTGTATTGCTGCATTTGCTGTCTTCTGATATAATGACTCGTCATTGAAGGAAAAACACTGGCACCGCTCATAACTTTAGCTACGCCTGTGAAAAGGGTTTATATGTGCAGCTGGAAACAGGTTTGGTAATATTTTTGCTTTAACCTGAGGGAATCACAAGCTGTTCCATGGGATAGGAAAGAAAAATATTTGTGTAAAATATATTTATTTTTGCGATTTTTTTTAGTTATTGTTATTATTCTCTAACCTGTGCTTTTATTGTGAAATTCTGAAAAAAATAAGGACTGGCTGGTCATATGTCCTCACTGCTGGAGCCAGAGAGATTTAATAAAACCATATAGCTCTGAAATATGATTTATTTATCGAGTGTGGCCCCATAGCTGTCATTAATTATGCTGTAAAACATCAGAATATCAGTATAATTACGCCATTAAAAAAGAGTCACATGATGCACATTTGGAAATTTTGCACTTTAAAAAGACTTATTTTATGTTTTAAAGGATCCTATTCTGATTGTGCTCAGAATATTTCTTCGTCTTCTTTTTTTGGATGTGTATTTCTGTGTAAGTTGAAGAATTCACTCTATTTATAAGCTAATAAAAAAACACAAAAAAAAAACACATGTGGTGTGTGTGTGTGTGTGTGTGTGTGTGTGTGTGTGTGTGTGTGTGTGTGTGTGTGTGTGTGTGTGTGTGTGTGTGTGGAAGCTTCCTACGTGCATCAGTGAGCACTTTAACAAGAACTGTGGAATTTCCCCCTTTGCCTAACATGGTAACGCCCACAAGTGCTCTGATTGGTCTACGCTCCTCCCTCGGTTATGGCTTCTAACTTGCTATTGGCCCCCGCCGGTGTCAGTCAGCCCGCTTCCTGCTTCACAGTATGGTTTGTTATTGCAGCGAAGCTCCTTTAAATGTGAGGGGAAATGTTGACGGTCGGAGCCCATGAAGTTGGTGAGTTTCTGATAGACGCCTACAAAACTTACAAAACTAACCGTGTGTCTTTGTCTGTTGAGAAAATGACGGAAAGTTAGCCTTTTGCCATTTCTTTTGACAAACCTTCAGTTTGAACGCCAGTGAGGAAAATTTAAACGTTACCTGCCGCTGCTGCCACTTGGCCCGACAGACAGGTTTTTTCTTTTTTTCTTTTTAAACCCTCTTTACGTATCTTTTAATTAACTATTTTTCTCAAATTTTTAGAAAAATGAAGGGGTTAATTCGACTGTGAACCAGCCACACTTCACACACACGTAAGATGTCAGGGGCCCATGAGCAGATCAGGAAGCGCCGCCCCCCCAAAACGTTCTTGATCTCGACCGACATAAAGGTGCGCGACCAGCTGGAAGGTACCATTTCGCTACAGCGGGGGTTCATCTGCCAGGAGCAAGATTTGGATAGAAAAGGGGACAGCCCCTGGGTTAAGGTATTAACATATATTTGCATTCACAGATTTACACAAGATTTGACACATGGAGGAACTTGTTGTGTAGTGCTAGGAGGAGAGTCTGAAAGGTGCTACCATTTGTCAGCGTCAACTTTACTAATACAAGCTGTTTTTATTTCTCTTACTTAGAATGATTAAAATTAATTAACATTGGTGGAGTAATCTTGAGTATTTTGCGATAATATTTCGAAAAGACTTTTAAAGTGGTGTTTTTGTGCAATCTCAGTTAATTATATACATTATGCATCACTTGGGTGGCCCATGTCTTATGTTGCTCCTAACACATTCACTATGTTCCACTTCAGATTCGAGCATCCACCAGCCGCTGCTGAGTTCCTGCTTTTAAAATCGTCAGAGTTAAATTTCCTGTTGTTTTGTTCTTAATTTTTCTTTCATACTCCACACCACCATCCCTCCTCTCCCTGTTTTTTTTTTCTCCCACATGTGTTTTTCCTCTTTTCCTGCAGGTGTTGGACAATGACTTCATGGGAAAAATAGAAAGGAGAGTCTTAATTGATGTCCCAACTGACCTCACTGGCTTGCTGGAGGCTGTTAGAGATCCAGAGGCTCGACTAAAACTTCTAAGTAAGAACCAAAATACTGCAGATTTTACAGCTGCTTACTTAAAATGTGCTCGAAGCTTGATTTAACTCACTTTCTAAGGAGAGAGAGTTCAGATTTGTGTCTCTTAAGTGCTGCCAGTTACTCATAAGCTGCCCTGTTTTTACTGCACACTGTGCACACTGTAATGGCTGTTTATCGCAGTAATTGTAGAGCACACTGAAGCTTTTCTCTATTATAAGTACATTTATGGCCTGAAATGTGACCAAAAACTGTCCCAGAGGATGTTAATCAAATGTAATTAGAAGTTTGTAATCTGCTAATTATTTGTTTGTTTGTTGTATTGTTCTGTGTTTTTCAGACCAGCCTGGGAAGCTGCAGCAGTTGGCTTCTCTGCCGTCTGACTCCCCGCTGTGGGTCCAAATAGGTCAGCAGGATGAGCTGGCAGAGGCAGAGCTGAAGTACATCGGGCCCTTAACCAGAGGAAGCAGCGCTGTGTATTTTGGGGTCCAACTCAAGGTTGGCTTAATCATTGGATTGTTTGAATTTTCAAATATTTTAAGTTGCTTTAATCAGCAGTTTGAACTACTTATATGCGTTGCATGGTATAGCTGATACTGTTGAACCTGCTTTGCGGTTTCTCACTACCTACAATAGCTGTTCGTTACCAAACCTGGGCAAAAAAAAGATGGCAGCTAAAGAGCCAGAGTATAAAATCGCTAAGAGAAGAGACTTCCTGGGATCTTTTTTTTGACTCATTACCCAGAAGCTTCACAGGATCAGTGCTGATATTGCTCTGTGGGTGCTAGCTGTACACCAGTCAGCTACACTGTTAAAACCACCCTCCACAGCAGAATATTTACAGTTGTGGTCAGAAGTTTACATCCACTGAATGTCAGGGTGATTTTGGACTCATAATTATATCTTTCAGTTGTTCTTTTTCCAGGGTGGGATAATTGTACAGCATACATCTTTAATGACTTAAAAAAAAACAAGAATTGGGTGCACAAGTTTTAAAAAATGTTTGGATTTTCTCTAATATGCACATTGTCAAAAGTATAAATACAGGCTCAAATATATACATACACCCCACTAATATATAGTTAAGGATCGCTTTGCAAGTTGCACCATGACCAGACTCTATTGGTAGCCATCAGCAAGCTTCTGGCATTATTCTGGTTGAATGTTTGGCCACTGTTCTGGCAGAATTGGTAGAGTTTATTTAAACTTGTTGGTTTCCTGGCCAAGGCCCAGCTTTTAAGTGTAGTTCATAGATTTTTATTAGGGTTGAGGTGAGAGATTTGGGAATACCATTCAAGAAGCTCAGTGTGAGCTTCATCCATTCCAGTTTTAATGTGTGTTTGGGAACATTGTCCTGATGACACCCAACTATGTAAACTTTCAACTGTCCAGCTGTTTTGAGGGGAAGTTGAAAAATTTGGAGGGAGCCCTCCTTCATTATTCCATCCACTTAGGACAATGTATCAGTATCACTGGCAGTAAAACAGCCTAAGAGCATGATGCTATCACCACCATGCTTTACAGTTGTTACAGTGTTCTTTGGTTTGCATGTCTGACTATAAAAAAAGTTCCCAGTTTCAATCGCGCTTGAAGGTGTCAGTTATGGAGCAGGGGCTTCTTTCTTGGTCAGCACCCTCTCAGTGCATTGTTAGGTCACGCTGTCTTCACTGTGGACAGAAGCACTGGTCATGCAGCAGTTTCCACTCCATGTCAGGCTTGAGCCTTGGTGGCTCCTAAACATCCCGACCAGTTTCCTTCCATCAGAGGTTTCTTGTTTTGTTTTTGTTTTTCCCATCTTCTTCCAGACATTGGCAAAATGGTGACACATCTGAAATCCTTGTACTTAAGTACAGGAAGAAATTAAATTAGAAATTATTTTTTTTAAACCTATTTGGAAAATATCCACTTTGAATGCTGGTTATACATGTCGTCTATTGACTGTATTTTCCTCACATCAGATTACATAAAATAACCACTGGATCCTCACCCCTGTGTGTGAAATCAAGTGACCCACAGATATTTATAAAAATCCTTCCTAATGTTGTTCAGGTTGCCCCTGTGCTGCCAAACTATCTGCAGACCTTTGGGATGTGAACCTCTGGGAGTGTCCTATACCTTCGGCAGTGTGGTGTTGGCAGCTGATTCTTTGTGTCCTAAAGGTTGTTGTAGTTGGGTGAGGCCTCCATGGATAAGGTTCGTTCAAGCAATGCTTGATCAGGCTGCGATCTGGCCAGTTTGGACCTTGTTCATCTGACAAATGCTGTCACAGCCTGAAGCACCAGGTTGCCAGGTTCTGCAAGAGCTTCTTCCCACAGGCAGTCAGGATTGTGTACTCATTTTAAATACACATAATCATGCACTACAGACACACAATCCTATAATTGTTTGTATACATGAAAACACACAGTCATCCTCCACAATGCTTCCTTTTTAACTGTTGCTGGCTTGTGCAATAGTTTTGTTTGCATAACTTTAGTTTAATATTCATCAGTACAGACATTCACATATGATGACTAACCTTCATTGCTGTTGTGCTGTGTTTTCATATTTGTAAAGCTGTTGAGTCCACTGTGCAGTCCTCATGTCTGCTGCAGTAAAGTTGACTCTGACTTTGACTTGTAGCTAACTAAAATGAAATATGACAAAAAGATACAGGTATCAGAAATACAAATAAAAACTAGATGTGTACTCACTAAAATAAAACAATAGTACACATGAACGCTCTTCAGATAATTATGTCAACCTGTGTGAGGAGGCTTTGGTGTGACTTTAACTCAAGTGTTTATGTTGTAGTACTTGTTATTAGTTTCTTAAATGTGTTCTATTGAACATTTCTAAAAAACAAAATAAATAAATAAAAGTTAAAATGAACAGGGTGGAGACTAACCAAAGCTACATTTATCTGAAAAGAAACATTTGGAAGTTCATAAAAATAAATAATGTAACTCATTAATTCACACTTTTCCTACAGTTTGCTGTCCTGATGGGGAGGCTGCTGCCATCAGGGAGTGCCATTGCCAACAATAATCAGTGGCTGGCACAATCATCACAATTACTGCATACATAAAGCTCCAAAGTTTGCGAGCATAAAACTGCACCAAAATATCCGGGGAATCAAATCATAGGTTTATATACAAACCACAGATGTAGGAGCTGAGTTGCTGTGTCACTTGCAGTGTAACTATGTTAACTGTGTGTGTGATTGTCCTCCAGGGCTCAGCGGTGGGTAGGGGAAAAAGCAACGGCACTTACAAAGGCCAGAGGTTATTCACCTGCCCCGAAGCTTGCGCCCTCTTCGTCCCGGCCAGTCACATCAGGCCCCGCCAGTGGTCCAGCAGCTCCGAGGGACACCAGCGACCCCGTGAGCGAGAACACCGCAGCAGCAATGGTCACCATAGCAGCAATGGCCGCCCAAACCATTTTCAGCTGCCGCCCCAGCAGCAGCAGCACCAGCACAGTCGTCACATTAGTTTCCACCAGCATCCACCCAACAGCTCTTCTCAGGTGTCCCCCTTTAGCATCCTTCCACGAACTGCAGACTCAGCACCCATCACAGCTCAAAACCATGTCCGAGGCCCTGCATCACCCCCGCTGTTTCGCCCTGGTCAGCGTGTGTGTTTCCCCCTGGATGACAAAGTCTGTGCAGGGGAAGTGGTGTTCTGTGGGCCCCTGCCAGGCCGGGCCTCATCAGGAATGTACGTGGGAGCCATTCTGGTCAGTATGACCCATGAGAGAGAGAAGATGTTTGTTTGTTTGTTTTGTTTTTTTGTAGAAAATAGGACATGTTTTAACTGTTAGCAAAAAATATTTTCCCTCGCTTTGACGGTCTTATACAGTGTAATGGTGAAGCCGTTCTATTTGCATTTAATGTTTGACTCTGTGTTGTACATTAGGACACTCCTGATGGTAGCTGGGACGGGACTTACAAGGGAGAGAAGCTCTGCCACATTCCTTCAGTCCTTTATGGAGCGCTGGTGTCAGTCAACAAGGTTTCCTTAGGTAAAGCAGCTGTTTACACTCAGAAAGTTCAGGCCTCAGTTATTTCAGGTAACTCAACAAATTTAGATTTTAAACTTTAGATTTTAATCACTCTTCTTACCATAAATTGACTTCTATATAGAAAAATGTAATTAAAAAATGGCAGATTTAGTTCCAGTATTTTTCCACAATTAATACGGTCAAATGAGAATAGACCGAGAAACATAGAAACAATAAGGCTAACCTGCCTAAATTTGGCAGCTGTCCACATCAAGGTAATTTCCTTGTGCCTTTTTCAGCACTGCTTCCATTTTTAGATTCTGTGGTTGAGTCAGAAACACAAACAAAAAACCCTGTATTACACCTGACTTTGTTAACTTATACAAACTACGCAAATCTAGCTTTTTTCTTTCATTACAGAAAGTAAGTCATTACAATACTTGTATTACTTTTGTGTTACCTGCATCACGTCAACCATATAAACCTTGGGCCTACATAACCACACAGTGTCTTAAGGGGGATTCTTTTCATTGGTTTACTAAGACACGTTTAAACTGTTTACATGAGGTGATGAAATAATTTTGCTTTTCCCTCATAAACTGAAGTCACCAAGAGGGAAAAGACAAGTGCCTCTTTTCTGTCCACCTAACGTGCACAGATCGACCTGACAGCAGTTCTGGTTTCTTCCTGTTAAAAGGGAGTTTCTCTTTCCCACTTTTGCCAAAGCTCTTGCTCAGAGGGGTTATATGATTGTTGGGGTTTTCTCTGTATTATTGTAGGCTCTTTCACTTGCAATATTGTTTTTGTGATTTGGCACTATATGAATAAATATGGAATTAAAATGAACTGTGAATCAATACACTTCCTAAAATGAAACGAAGCTCGATAAGTCGCTGTCTTTTTTCTTTATGCTAGAAGAGCTAGAAAGCAGCAAATGACAACTTTGAAGGAGGCATTTACCAAGTTTACATCAAATTGTGAAGTGTTTTTGCTTGTAATGGGTCACTTGCCACATTTTATTTTTTTGACCTCACCTTTTTATAAACATCTTGCAGAAAAGAAACAATTAACACCAACAATCACTAAGTAAAAGCAATACAGAGATGTGTAACTGAACCAAATGAAAACGCAGTCAAAACAAGGAATTGTGTTTTGTCATAAGGGCCGAGTGGACGTGAATGAGGGCTATGTGGAGACAACTGTGTTTACACCTGAGCTTTGTAGAGACGAAGCGTTGCAGGAGCATAACAGTAAAAATAAACGTCTAACATCTTCACTTCTGCGTCCTCAGAACCAAAGTCCCATCGAACCAACCCCACTCAGAAATCTTCCAGAACCGTCCTGAAGGTGGCACTCCCCCCAGTTACTAAATCAGTCCCTGTATCGCCGCCTGCCTCTGCACCAAAGATAGCCCTGATGCCCCCAATCAAACCAGCACTTAAATCTCCCCCTCTGCCTCTGCCAAAACCCGCCCAGAAACCCGGGCTTCCTCCCCCTCCTCCTCTACCCCCTCCCAAACCGCAAGGCCTGATAGCCGGCCAGCAGCAGCACACCAATGGTACTCACGGACCCGCCTCACCGCTGACGGCTCCGGGTAACGGTGACGACGCAGCAGAGAATGGAGAGGCAGGATCGGGCAGCAATCTGGAGGTCGGGTCGATGGTTGAAGTGAATGATCCGCCGCTGTTTGGAGTTATCCGCTGGATTGGATGGATAAACGGGATTTCAGAGCCAGTGGCAGGAATCGAACTGGTAAGGACAGTTTGTGCCTCAGTTTTTATTCCCTTATTGAGGTTGTACACTCATACAGAGTTTTCTACATCAGTTTTTTACTTCCCAGACGGATTGAAAGCAGTTGCTACTTATAACTGAATCATTGTTTTCTTATGCCGGTAAAGTCGTGTTAGCATTATTATTTAAACAAAAACTGGTTATTTCCATCACCACATTTGTCACCACATATCCTTTTTCATTATTACACAAACTTCCTGTTAACTTTTATGAGGGCAACGGAAAAGGAAGCTGCAGTTTGTTTACGCTTAAGAAGATCATTCGCTCTTTGTTAAAGGATACCTTTCATACCAAGCATTCATGTTTCTGCATGTTCGCTTTTCAAAGAAACTGTTGGCAGTTCTTGTGGATTGATTCCTGATAAAGTCTTGCCTGTTCTTGATCCTGTTTTGTGTTCTGCTGGCCGCAAGTGGTCTGAGAAGCCTCTGCAGAAGCGCTTTAATTCTGCGTTTTTGGAGGACAGCTCCTATTACAGAAATACTCTGTATATATTTTTCTTGTCACTTGATCTATGACCTCAGCAATTTTTTACCTGGCGGGTTCATGGGCCCAGTCTTTAGTTAGGAGTTTGAATTACTACAACATGATGTCCATTTTGTAAATTATAGTCCCATTAAGAGTGAAATAGATCAAACAAAGCAGGGTTTGAGTTGCTGAACTCGCAGATTCAAAAGAGGATATACAAATGTTTGACCGACACATGCACTGAAAAGAAGAGATGAAGGCATCAGGAACTCATCAACTACTTAGCCCCCTGCACTTGAAGTTGCAGTATGCTGCTCACTGTCTGTGGTATCTGGTGGCCATGTGACTATGAATCACTGCAAGTATAGATTAGCTTAAGGTTATAGAGATAGATCTGCTATGTAGGAGTCTGTGGGGACTGACTCATCCTGAGAGACAGCCTCAAGTGGGCATTAGAGGTACTGCAGTTTTTGGCACTTGTGCTGTGGTTTCACCTTTTTGTTACAGAGGTTACAGCTTCAGCTACATTAATTGTTTGTTTGTTTTTTAATCTATAGCAGTTGTAATGGCGCATCAAGCATCAGTATAGAAACTGATTTCTTCCAGTATATTGTTCCAATGGATTCATTTTTACCATCAACAGCTGAATCAAATACTTTGTTACAGCAGCAGAGGAAACTTGGAGTTTGATGTGTGGGCTCTAGGCACAAATATGCCGCATATCACACAGGGGGGTGATATGAGCCCCAGAGGGAGGATGTCTTTGATTTGCAAGGCAGGTCAGTACGGAGGGCTCAGGCTGCCTGCCAGGTCACAGGTTTCACTCCATTAGTTTAATGACCTTCTATCATGCTGGTTTGCAATAGGCTAATAAATTCCCACGTGTGTGTGTGTGGTGTGTGTGTGTGTGTGTGTGTGTGTGTGTTTGTGTGTGTGTGTGTGTGTGTGTGGTGTGGTGTGTGTGGTGTGTGTGTGTGTGTGTGTGTGTGTGTGTGTGTGTGTGTGTGTGTTTTTCAGGAACAGGAGCTGTCTGCTGGAACGGATGGCAGTTACCTCGGGGAGCGTCACTTTCGTTGCCCGGCCAACAAGGGGCTTTTCGTAAAGCTTCGCAACTGTAGACGGGACTCCAGATTCCCCGCCCCCGAGATGCCTGTCAATCAAGTGGAGCGATGCAACTCTATAGGTAAAGTAGGCTGCAATCTGACACAAGGCCACGCCAGCACCTCGCCGTCAAAGCTCTCTGTCTCATTTTTGCATACGTGCTGATGATCGCTGTTAAAGCAGCATTTATGACGCTCTGATATCTAATACCATCTTCTGTGTCTGTGGCTGCCAGCCTTTGCAGAGTGGGGCAGTGAGCGCGTGGAGGAGCACACTCCTCCTGTGGAGGGGGATGAGGCCCGGGAGCTCTACCAGGGCTGGAAGAAAGGCATCCAGGGTCACCTCAACTCCTGCTACCTGGATGCCACGCTGTTCAGGTAACATCTGAGACATTAGTTACTGTCCTACATCTCATAGAAAGAAGACTGTTGGTGTAAATATGTTGTTTTGACAAAAGCTGGTTTTTCAGATTTATACCAGATCTTTCAGATGGTTCACAAAAAGGCTGATAATGAATGTTTTTTGTCACTGTGATTTACAGCAGACATGCTCTGCTGTGTATACTGTTACAATACTGTACATACAATACAATACATATTAAATGTGACCATTAGAAGTGATGCATGTGACAGGCTTATTTCTGCTGCTGGATGAGGAAGAGAGTAGATATGACTAAGACCGTCATCTCACAACTCCGCCCACGTGGAAACCAGTGACTTAGAGGAAGGTCAGCAGTCTAAAACTGCTACCTTCAGTTGAACATATCAAAAGCAAAGACATGAAAGTGCACTCGCATATGATGTCACATGTCGGACTGTGGAATATGTTCAGTGTTATAAATATCTTGGAGCAGTTATTGTGAAGCTGTGTGCAAGAATGTTTGAGAAGGCTTCTTTTCTTCCACGTTGATAAAAACAATGATGATTTTATTTTCTTGCGCTTTTACTGAATCGTTCTTATCTTTTTCTTCTTGGTGTCCTGGTTTGGATATTTACATGTAAAGAACAGAATATCGCTCAGTCAAATGGTGAAGTGGTCTAACAGGCTGATCGGTGAAGCACAGCTGAACCCAAGCATCCCTGCACGCCAGACAGTTGCAGCGGTTCACTGGTTCGATTTCTTTTTGCACAGAGTTTCAGTTTCCTCCTTCTGGACAAAGATATCTGGTTTAAAAAAAGCTTTGTTTATGCAGCCGTCACGCAGATAAACAAATTATAGCTTTGCCAGTTTTGTGGGCTACATGATGCCCCAAATGAATTATTAATAATTCTCACTTTTAATATTTTTTGCATGATGTATATTTGTTGCATTGAGAGTGTGCACGTGAGGATGGATGATTCACCACTGCTGAACTAATCTACCTACAGGTAGAAATGAAGGAGCCTGGCATTAAATGAGGGGGTGCACCAAGATTCCACCCAGCTGCTTGTTTTATACCCCACCTGTGTGCTGTTGTCTCCACAGTCTGTTTTCCTGCTGCAGTTCAGCTGACTGTGTGTTATTCTGGCCCACCGACCCTAAAACCGACCAGAGCTCCAGTCAGGCTCAGGACCTTCTACGCTGCGACATTGTCAACCCACTGCGGAGGTCTGTGCTGTTGTCACTGGTCATTGTTTGGTTAAAATGAACCGGGAGGTATGATGGAGGGACTGTTGTGCCCATTTCCTGTCTCCTTACTATCAGTTTCTGTTGTCACCATCTCTACAACAAAAACTGAAGTTTCTCTAGTGACCACTTGAGACTGGCTTTAAAACACGAGTCAGTGGCCATGGTTATCTGATAACAGTACTAACACTACTGCTACTTATCCAGAATAGTGACCTTTGGTATCACAAGCATGTGGAGTTTAATCCAGTGTTCTGTTTGTGGTCGTTAAACACAAATGTCATTCTAATAGGAGGCCCAAAAGGTTGCAGTCATTAAACACCACATGTTCACGTGTCGCTAGGCTGAAGCGCTCATAACTTTAGTTTGTGCTCACATTCTTGTTATATATCTGTGTGATGTGTCTGAGGCGCTCCTGTGCTGCCGTGTTTTTAAAGGTACGGCTATGTGTGTGCCAGTAAGACAATGGCGTTGAGGCGACTGCTGGAAGCTGCGAACAGTGATATGGGCTTCACCAACCAGGAGAAAGGTATGCAAGTGTTCTCCTCCACCAGGGACTGTGCTGCAAACATAGTTAAAGACTTCGAGGAATGCTGTCATACCTCTCTTGTTCTTTCTGTCAGATCCTGAAGAATTTCTCAACAAGCTTTTCCAGCTTCTCCGAGTCGAGCCGCTTCTCAAGATCAGGTAATGTTGCCGACACTTGCTGTTTTTTCTTTTCTTTTTGTCTGCATGGACAGTTTCTCACTGGGCTGTTGTTCCCAGATTACCTGCACACAGTCATTATCACACACACAGGTTAGCTGTTGCATCGACGCGGTTGGAAGTTGAATTTGGATGACGTTTTTCCAACACGGTCGCTCTTCTACATTTCATGCATTCCTCTGTGAGAACACAACCTGCCGCCAGTTCACTTTTGTTCAAAGGTGATGGAAATATTTGCCTGGTTGTTGTTTGTTGTTGAAGTTCACACTGTCTAAATCTAACTAAAGGAAAAGGGACTTCCAGCCTGGAGGTCAAACAGACTGTGGCTCTTCCTAAAACTATTTGACTTGCCTCTTGTGTCTATAGTGTCCCTGTGAAGACTGCGTTCAGTGTTTTCATGCTTGTCCATGTTGTTATTTGCTCAGAGCTCCATGAAGTGTTTCACCTTCCTTTTATGTACTTCAGTGACTCAACGGATCTCAAACTTGACCTCTGAGCTTGACTTCAAGGTCACTGTCATTCAAACTTGCCAGTGTTTTTTAATAGATGCACCTGTTTTATGAATTTGAAAGTCCTGTGTTGCTCTGATCTTGAGTTATCGTGACCACGCGGCCCGCCCGCCTGTCTATCGTTGGCAGGGTAATGACAATACCCCATCAGTCTTTTATAGCTGAAGGGTAAAAATGGCTGCAGGTCCTAAAGAGTTAATGCAATACTCTCATTGAACCCCTTGAATTAAAGCTGGAAATTGGCTCACATCTTGTTTGATTTAAAGTCTACTGTGAAGGCGTGCAGAGACAAAAACTACAAGGAAAATTGTTATTATCCAAATATTTATGGATAACTATATGCTTACACAGCCAAGCATCAAAGGTGGTCATTGTTGTAATGCCTGCTCTGTCAGTGTTTTAGGATTGCACCCGGTGGCTTTGTTCTGGTGTTAAACAAGGTCTCGAGGGAAACAATAACAAAGCAACACTGAACGAGACATGATCCACAGTGCAGCCAGAGGGCAGCATAATTAGACAGCTAGATCTCACAAGCTTGGCTTGCAGACTGCATTTAAAAACCGTACACACACACGCTGGTGTTTCATTGATAAAACCTGAAGCATAGATATGTTGGATGGTCTGCACCACACAGAAAACCACATGCTTCAGGAGGTAATATTTGTTTATGAATTCCACAACAATGTATCGAACGTTAAAGGTTTAGCAGTTAAAGGTCAAATTCAGTAGCTCGAGTTAGAGGAGCTGAGGCCTGATCATCACCTAAATCTTGAGCTCATTCTACATATTTAATTCCCTGCCTTCTTCCTCTCCTCAGATCGATGTCTCAGCAGCCACAGGAGTGTCACCTCTATCAGCTCTTCCCTCCTGCCCTTACCCCCTCTCCTTCCTCGCCCGAGGCTCTCTCCCCAGTCAACTCCCCGATCCCCCTCTCCTCAGCGTCATCCATGAGGGTCGCCAGCGTCCAGACCCTGCTGGAGTCCTCCTTTCTCCACTCCGGCCTCAAGTTTGTTGAGGTGATAGAAATAAGCCAGAGATTTCACATCAATATGAGTAAAAAGGAGTTGCTATATTTTCTTATGTGTGGCTTGATGTGCCCACCAGGCTCCCTCTTGCCTCTTGCTGCTCATGCCGAGGTTCGGGAAAGACTTCAAAATGTTTGACGCCATCTTGCCGACCCTCAGCCTGGACATCACAGACCTGCTGGATGACAGTAAGGACGATCACAGGGAGCGATTTGTTCCTGCTCATTGAAGATTTGAAGTAGCTTGAGTTTTATGTTCTCCTTTCTCTTGCAGCTCTGAGGCAGTGTACTATCTGTCAGGCTGTAGCCGAGTGGGAGTGTCTGCAGTGTTACGATGATGTAGACATCACTCCTGGACATCTGAAACAGTACTGCAAGACCTGCAACGTTCAGGTAGCCCTTCACTGCTTCAGGTTTATAGAGACATGCACCAAAGAGCCTCTGCTTTAAAGATGGAATCGTCTGCAGCAGTCCAGCTTAATTCAGCCCAGTGTTGTGGTTTTCTGGATCGCTGATACTCTGTAGACTCACTCGGTACTCTGTACATGATACCAGATTAAGATTGTACCCTGTGCTGAAAGTTGGCTGCCAAATAAGCACTCTTATTTTGTGTCTTACTCTGCACTAAATATCAGATATGTTTATAACTGTAACTGCTGGATGCTGCTGCTTGCTCCTCACATAATCTCAGCACTCCACTCTGTCATCCAAGTATGGGCACTTGTGATTCAGTGGTTGGCTTCATGGTAGCTGCTGCCGCCTTTTATATACAGTCTGTGTTTTTTACTCATTGACTTTGATCACCAGGTCCACAGTCACAGGAAACGAGCGTCCCACAGCCCGGTGAAGATTGGCGTCCCCGGGGAACAGTGGACAGGCCCCCTGCACTGCACGCGACAGCGAATGTCTCTCTTCGCTGTGACGTGCATCGAGACCAGCCATTACGTGAGCTTCGTCAAGAACGGGCCCCTCGACACTGACTGGCTGTTTTTCGACAGCATGGCGGATCGGGAAGGTGAAACTCAAACACGATAACCGAATCTTACATTCAGCCAGCGAGGAGCACGCGCTCACGTTTCTCCATGTGCTCTCACACAGGTGGAGAGAATGGCTTCAACATCCCCCAAGTGAAGGCTTGTCCCGAGGTGGGCCGCTACCTGAGCTTGTCAGAGGAGGAGCTGAGCAGAGTGGACCCCAGCTCCTTGAGGGAGGCTGCGCGTCGCCTGCTCTGCGACTCGTACATGTGCCTGTACCACAGCCCCGAGCTCAGCCTGTACAAGTGACACGGACACTCAGCACAGACGTGCAGACTGAAGTGGACGTGTTGTCCTCAGGTTCTTCCCTTCGCACAGCTGTCTGAATAAAACGTTGCACTTCAGAATATCAGGTGTAACATGAAATCTGCCTTATTCTCACCATGACCAGCATTTTTTTTTATTACTCCCTCCTGTGAAGTGGGGTTAGAGACTGAAGTTCCCAGTGAGACGGGAATGTTGAAGTGCAGCTTCTTTTCTTTGTGGGTAATGTTAGACACACAAACTGGCCTTCATGTACAGACCCAGGAGGTTTTTTGTAACAGAAACTTTGCTCATCACCCGGAACACTCTCCAGAATTGGCTGCCCGCAGCTTCACACACTCAGAGATGTAAAAATAGCAGATGTAGCAGCAAGAGTCCAAAGGTTTTTAAGAAGATGGTGTAAAACAGCAAAGGTTAAGCTGGTTGACGTTTGTTTTACATCTGTAGGTTTGTTATTGGGGCTAATTTTTTGGGTCATCCATGTTTAAAACTGCTTAAGTGCCAAAGTGCTGCAGATTTATGGCACGGCCTTAATGTTCACATCTTCTGTATATCAGGAGTTGCAGTTTGTCTACAAACAAGATGCACTTTAAACTCTTTCGTGAAGTGTTGCCCAGTAAAGGACGACGAGTGGTGAGGGTCTGAGAATAAACCACCGTCCATCCAGAAAACAGTCAGCCATACTTCCACACTTCTACTGTGCCTGTTGAACAAAGAGCCTTATGTTTAGGTAAAGAGCTGTGTACACTTGCCAACCTGCTGGTGAGCTTACCTGTGCCTTAATGATGCTCTCACACTGTATGAAACCACTGTGCCTGTAACATGTAACACTTGTACTCTGCACAGTTCAGTTTGCACTGCTTTATTTACACGTCAGTTCATTTGTATATAATAGCATTCCCTGTAACTGACAGCACAGATTGCACATTGATGTTTAAACTGTTAGATTGCTTACAGGTTCTTTAATGCAATCCAGCTACACGCAATGAGAATAAAGATTTGATATTGTTCCTATGTCTTAGTGTTTTTGCCTTTTTTTTTTCTTTTTTCTTTTTTTTATTCAAATTTGTCAAGAAATCTAAAACATGTGGGACATGTCCATCTATCGTCTTCTGGTTATGGTGGATTTAAACCAGGACCTTTTTCCTGTGAAGCAAAAAATCCACACCACTGTGCTTCCCAACTCTTAAACGGCTGAGTGAGAAATAATCATAATTTTCTCAAATCTGCTCCTTAAAAACATGGGTTCTGTATATTTTCTATACTTTCTTCCAGTGAAGCTTTCCCTAAATAAACTATAATATATAATATTTAAACGGGAAACGACAAGAAACATTATCAATATATCAAAATAAAACAAAAAAAAAACTGACCCATCATACCTTTAACACTGTTCTGTGGATTTTCTCTATCGACCACAAACAGAACACTGGTGTCACAAGCATGTGAAGTCTACATTATATATTCTATTGTCTACACCGCCTGGGGGAAAAACTGCCGTTCAATTTCCCTCAAATTAAATAGTCTTACCACAATTAACCATCCATGTTATTTAAATGAATATTCACTTTAAGTCTTCTCCGTACATGGTAAAAAAATTTTAACCCGCAAATTATTTTCTATAACTTAAAGTAAAATTAATTATTATATTTTCCCCTTGAGGAAATATTTTATTTTATTTTAGCGGACGTATGACGTAATATCCGTATCAGCAAACTGCGTCATCATTTAGAGCCCCGGAAACATCGAGAGAGCGACGAGGGGGTTATCTAAACCTGAGCGCACGTCGGAAGCTTCGTCTCTTTCCGTTAAAACGACACCGATTAAAGAAGCTCCTGAGAGTGTTGGATGTTTCTGTAAGGTACAATAGTTTTTGAAATAACGCTCCGCTGCCTCGTTCACCTATAACGTGCTGCTTGGTGACAGCGTTGTGAGGCGCTGGTGACCTCCTGCTTAGCTTCTGGTCGACTCGCTTGTATTTATAGCTGGCAGTGTGTTCAGTACACACTTGAACCGTTAATGTTAGCTCTCCGGGAAACTGTGCTTCGTGTTTTAGGTCTATAACAACAGAGGTGGCCGCTGTTAGCAGGTGCAGAGACACCGAAGCTGTTCCGACATTTTATCTGCAGAAAAAACAGAGAACTGGCTGTTATCCCAGGATCGATCTGTTACAGAAAGAACAGGATGGAGACAAACTGGGAACTCTGATAGTAATAATTTATGTCGTTTAGGGGCCATTCCTCTGTTAGAGCATGTAGAGATCACAGTGTGTTCACACGCTGTTAGTTGCAGAGTAAGGTCTTCTCTGTTTCCCTTATTTGACAGCATTAAAACACACACACAAGGTGACAGGTCACTGGTCACTTTATTAGGTACACCTTTCTTTCTCCATTGCCCTCAATACATTAGACAAGTAGGAATGTCAAGACGTCCTGCTGAAGTTCAAACTTGAGCATCAGATAAGAAAGTAAGTTGATTTAAGTGACTTTAAACGTGACATGCTTGCTGCTGTAAGACATGACAGTATTTCAGAAAATGCTGATCTGCTGGCACACAACCATCTCTAGAGTTTGCATGGAAAATATGTAGCGAGCCAAGTTCTTTGAGTGAAAATGCCGTGCTGCACTTAAAAACTAGACAACAAAAAATGTTGCCAGGTCTGATAAGCCTCCATTTCTGCTGCGACGTTCAGATGGTAGGGTCAGAGTTACCAGTAAACAGCATGAAAGCATGGATCCATTCTGCCTTTATCTGCAGTTCAGGTGCTGGTGGTGTAGTGGTGCCTATAACATCTTCTTGGTACCAACTGAGCATCTTTTAATCTATTCTGTGAAGATTTAAAACAGGTCTGAAGTGACAGCGACTGTATAGCTGCTGCTTCTGCAGTAGTAAAGGTGGCTGTGTGTGGTTAAGGCTGTGTTGATGGATTTGTGGGTTCTATTTTCCTGATTAAATGTAACATTACTTTATAATAAGTGGTTAAAATGTTTTCCTTTTGGGGAAGATTAAAAGGATGAAACCTGTTCGATGTCTGAAATCAATGACTTCCATTTATCGACTGGTGTTTTATTCTCATATTTTGTCTTTGGCTTAACAGAAAGCTGCACAAGCCTTTTACGTCTGCAGTTATTTATGCATCCTATCTGTGCAGGTGCTTTCTGTCTCCGAGGTCCAGCAGTGTAGTTGGTTGCCATGGCGTCTCCAGGAGGACAAGGAGGAGGAGCTCTGTCAACAAGAGGAGGAAGCGGTGCCAGGAGGATGAAGTGGGCTCTGGAGCTGAGCCTGGGCAACACCAGGTAAATGGAAACTGACACGTACCCTGAACACTTGTCCACACCACCAGGAGGTGTGGACAAAAGCTCTGGCGTAGAGGTGAGAGTAGTGCAGGTAACAGCTCTGTCCAGGTGATCGAATTTACATGTAAGATATGATTCTGGCTTTAATGAGTTACTAAACAACAAGTCTGTTATCCTGTAATGGTTTCACTTTTCAGCACGCCCCTTTCAATATTTCTGCCTCCCTGCATTGCCAGGCTGCTGTGTTCCAGGTGTAATTAAAGTTGAAAAAAGTCCATTCAGTTCAGTACAGGTCGCTGCTTTTATTTAAAGTTTCATAAACTGAGAATTTAAGTAATTGTGTTACATTCAGTATGGCTCAAAATCTTTCCTGGCAGGTAATTGTCCCATTCCCAGTGAACAGTTTGGGAGTGTGTCCTGTCTAAACTTAGAAGTTGTACATCGAATGCTCATCTTGATTCAACGCCAAAGGGCATTTGTGTCTCCTGCTAGACTTAAACTAGCAACCTTTTACTTATGTCCCGCCTAAACTACAGATTATTTCTGCCTCCAAACTTTTTAGAAATCAGCTAATCCAGTTTCTCCTTGTTTACCTGGGCGTCCTCACAGTGTGTGCATGTGGGCTTTACACTCTTGTCTCGAGTGGTTTAAATGCTGATATTAAATTAAACGGCAGAGCTTATGAGACGGTGAATAAAGGTTAAATCTGGTCATTTTTATTCCCGCTGCAGGAGCCGCGGTGACCGGCAGGGCGGTCAGGGAGATGTGGTTTACCCCATCGGCTACTCTGAGAAACCGGTCCCCGACACCAGCATCCAGGAGACTGACAAGAACCTGGTGGAGAAGGTGAGAAAAGCTCCAGATACACACATTTTCCCTCCTGTTCGAATGGTCCCAACCACCAGTCTGTGGATTTAATGTCTATTTAACTTCATAGGTGAAGCTACCATTGCTGAATTAGTTTTGCTTTACTTTGTGAGAAATAAACACAATAACAAATCTTTTTATAGTGACCATCCATATTTTGTTTTTACTGTAGTTTTATAGTTTTTGTACTAGCTTTATAATGACTATAATAACCATGGTGTACATAGTTATTCTGTCAAATATGTGGAATCAGTACTTTGGGCAGAAACTGGATGTGGATTTTGGAACTGGCACAGAGGAGAGTCTATGTGCCTTCTCACAATGAGCGGTCAGCCCGTACTTTGGAATAGGTGCCTTAAAGACAGTCGCTTTTATTTTGATAGGACATTTAAAACGATAGGACTACAGTCAAAATTTTTCCTCACAAAAGTGTTAGAATGAAGGTGATCTGCTTAGAATGAAAAGAAAAGAGCTCAGTAAAGAAAGCGAGGCTTAGTTTTGGGTGGACGTAAGAGGGTCTTTAGCAGGGATTTAAATCAAACATGTGGTACTTGGTCTGACCCCGCCCACTCTCTCGTCTTGCTGTGGTGCAGAGGTGCTGGGACGTGGCCCTTGGGCCCCTGAAGCAGATCCCCATGAACCTGTTCATCATGTACATGTCGGGCAACACTATCTCCATCTTCCCCATCATGATGGTGTGCATGATGGCCTGGAGGCCCATCCAGGCTCTCATGTCCATGTCTGCCAGTGAGTATCCAGCGCTCGGACACCGTTTATGTTCCTGACCGGATGCTAACTGCTCCTTTCATCCTCTCCGCCTCAGCCTTCAAGCTGCTGGAGAGCTCCAGCCAGCAGTGGCTCCAAGGCCTCGTCTACCTGATCGGAAACCTCCTGGGCTCGGCGCTGGCCATCTACAAGTGTCAGTCGATGGGACTGCTCCCGACACACTCGTCCGATTGGCTGGCGTTCATAGATCCGCCGCAGGTAAGGTCGTAAACGTGCAGCAGGGATAAATAGTTCTTCAAATTGATACCTTAACTGTATCTACTAAAAATCTAAGATGAGTTTGACCTTGACCTGAAGGCCAGAGGTCAAGTTTTCTGTACATCTTGTATATGCAATGACTTGAACAAGGGCTGAGATGCAGATTCTATAATTGATACCATAGATGTGTGTACTAGGAGGCTGACAGGTAGCACTGCTGGTACCCAGTGTTTTTAGTAGTAATATTAATAATAATGATAGTAGTAATAAGAATGGGTATAATGGTAGTAATAGTAAAAAATGATAATAAATGATGACGTTAACCTTTAGAATTGTCCCTTCTGTTTAAGTGTAAAGTTTAAGTACATTCATATTTATAAAACTTGTCTCAGTTTGTCCACAAAGAAATCCACCAGCACAGCCGATGTTTGGGCTTAAACTTTATTAAATTAGATAAAGGTTTCTGCAGCTCATTACCCCAAATTTCTGTGGACCCCCTGCTTACAAATAAAAAGGGAAAGCTGTAAGTGGTTTGTTTACAGGGGAAAATAAAAACACCTCATTGTTTGTCATGACGGAGCAGTACAATCTGCCACTGAGCAGATTTTCACACTTTGTTCACATTTTGAGTAATTCTAGTTAAAAATACAGCCAATAAAATGAGGTACAGAGTCTGACACAAGCTTTCCATTAGCTCAGCTTTTGGCTTCATCGGACTGTTTGTTGATAAAAGCTGCTGTGAGCAGCTCTACATGTTTGATTTGGCAGATTCTTTCTAATGCAGCCTTTGAAGGGATGTGTGTGGAAGTGGTGACCCTTCACTTGTTCTGTGAATGTGTGAACCACTGCGCTGTCTGCCAGAAACAC